AAGATCAAATAGAGTTCTCATATAGTTTAGTAATACTAAAAAAGTGCAAATGTTTATTCAGTCTTTTTCTCAATAAGCTTCAAAATATCTGAATTCTTTGAAAATAGAAATGCCTATCCTCACATAAACAACATTATGGGCAAAAATTATAAACAGCAACTTCATTTCAGTTTCATAAAATAATTTACTACTGATAGTACATACCTCATAATATATCATCATAAATATGAACATAATTCAGCAAATATTTTTACATAATTATTTCAGAAGACTGCTGTTAAAGAATTATTTCAGCAAGCGTACAAATGATTTTACCTTTGTGCTCCTTTAACTCTTGTTATATGTTATTCCTAGACAAGACTGAAGCTAAATTCAGTATCATATAAAATAGGATGCGTTATAATGAATTAGTAGGCTATTCTATGCAGATAAATATACATTTTATTAATATGTGTTCTTTTATTAAGTCATCCTCCCCCACATTCATTCACTGGTTCAGCTTCCCCAGCAGCATTACACAACCTGACTGCTGATCTACTTTAAGCTGTCATAAATTAACTTTAAAAGATGTCTTGAAACTCAGTGGCTTCATATAGAGATCTTGAGAATCATACCTTCCTTCTAGGGCTCCTACAGACCTGACTGTTACCTTATTAAAAGGAAGATATGAGTTTACGGAAACTTGCATGTACTCACAGACCTCTTTTTAGCACAGACATTATACCATACCATTCTGCCATAGCCCTGGCTTCTTCTGTAATGCTGAGTTTAGAGCTAAGGTTTGGAGTGCTCTTTAGCCAGAAGTGGAAGAGTTATAATTATTCTCCTTATGTCTTACTAACAGTTAGAAGTTCCACATTTGTGAACTAAGTATATTTTTAAAATCTCACTTAAATTGTTTCGAAAGTCTTGCATACACCTCAGTGAGGCCATGAAATAGATTTTTGCAATGCACATGGATGTTCATTTTCAGGTGCTTTACAACGCTGGAGCAAAATGAAACTGTGCTAAGTGATCTAATCCAGGTCATGAGTTCTAGCAGTAGATCAAATCTGACTTGACAAGGCCACAAAAGAAATTTCAGAGTTACAACTACAATATCGGCAGGTCCCACAGACTGCGAGTGAAAACTGACTTCAGGAATATGATTTAACTTTACTGGAGGCTTCTAAATTTTTTGTTTGAATAGTTTCTGCCTAATTGATATCCATCTGCCCATGATAATAGCTTATACAATTGGAAAACTGCAGAAATCTGATTAATTCCATTTACCAAATAAAAAAGTTCCTTTTGTCATACACTTAGCTATTTACACCAAAAATATAACTTGTGTTTCACACTGTCATTTTGTCAGTTATGAGTCTGAAAATGCTGTATGCCAATACACTATTACTACAAAGAACAGAAGGTAATTAAATGCCTGTTTTAATTAGCATTATAAGTCAGATTAAATACTATTTCATAGTATTGAAAGTTCCAAGCAGTTATCTAACAGTCTGAAGCCAATATGAAGTACCATATCTTATTTAGTGTGACTAAAGAAAACAGAAATCTAATCTAGAGAACTTGCATACAGCGTTTGAAAAGCTGTGATCTATTATATCCCATTCCTGTGCAACTCTAATTGAAGCAAACTTGGAATAGTGATAATTTTTACAAGTGACTTGTTCCGTTCTCCATCCCTGTACTAGCACAGGAAACATTATTTCATATTCAGGCTACCAGTATGCTCCCCCAGTTTACAGAGGATTTTTCACCTTATTCCTTTGGAAAAATATAAATTAAAAAAAAAGTAGTTTTGTTTGTTTGTTTCTTTTGTGGTTTGTTTGTTTGGTTTTTTTGTTTTTGTTTTTTACTATTCCTGCTGTTTCAGATCTTTCACATAACAATTGTAGTCAAGACTTTATGGGTGTTATATCCAACACATTGCACTTCTCCGTACTGAGCACTATATTGTATGAGAGGAAGCAGAAACACCCCAAAACACAAAGTTTGACACAAACATTTTGCTAAGCTATAATTTGCTCACTTTACCTCATAGGGCTGAGACCACATTGGGAAACTAATGATATTCGGTAAATACTGGAACATTGGATCACGATAGCAATAAACCATATTCAATTAATACATATCAAAGTATAACCGAAAAACAGGCCTCTGAATAATGAATGCCCATGTTCATCTGGTCTCATTTGTTGTGTTTACAAAACCTTGCATACCAGGTAATGAAATTAATAAAATTTTCTGTCAACATTTCTATGCACAAAAAAGCATTTATATGAGCAGATGGCATCTTTTACTGCAATCCTTACCATGAAACCTTTTCACTTCTGAAAGGAAAGATGAGCAAGCAAGACACAGCAAGACACTGCCAAGCATGATGATGTGTTGAATTATAAACTAAGCTGCACCCACTAATTCACAACCTACAGTGCCATAGAATTTACCCCAGAGCGTTTTGTAGCCCATTACCCCCCCCATAAGAGCACTGTCTTCCAATCCACTCCCTCTTTATACCCTTTTCCACCCTGAAAACTATATCTGTTTCCTACTAATAGCTTTCAACTCACATCACTGTGATGTTTTCTCACAGGAAGCAGAAAGTGAGAGGAGTTCACTTTCATCAACAGTGAAGAGTCATCCTGGGAGCCAATCTGACATCTTGAATGAGTCCAGTGTGAAGAGGGGGAGAGCAATCTTTGAGAAGATGTCATCAGGGAATGGGCAGAACAACTTTGAAGGTTAGTTTTACCACTTTGATCTGATTTCCTCTTTCAGTAGTCTACAGTAGTGGTCTCCAAACATTTCTGATGGCAAACCCATACGCCTACCAGTAAGACACTTTTGAGAATGCCCTCCCAGTGTACATATATATATATTTAAATAATATACATGTACTATTCTATAAGTACCAATATATTATGTACACAAAAATAGGTATTAAAAAGAATGAAAGATATAATAAATAATTTAAAACGTTAAATTGTTAAATAAATGTTAAAATATACTGATATAAATTAGTTTCTTCCTGCAGCTCAATTGTCTTGTCCAGATCCTGGACCCTACTTTGAAGACCACACTACAGTTTAAGAGAGCCTGTGCTTTGGTTTAATAGAGAAACAATATTGATTACACTTGGTTCCAAAGTCAAATACCTGTTATACAACACACGAACATGCAAACATATTTGAGATTCCTAAATTGTATACTTCTGTTTGCACTTATATAGTAAGTGTATGCAATGTATCACCATGCTAGTGCAAAAATAGCTCACTACATGACTATCTCCCTTTTATTTCTCCCCCTTCCACTTACTCCTCCTGTTCTCTCAAGTCTATGCTGGTAATGTCAGAGAGAATAGTGCATTTAATTCCTTTATACATAAATTAAACAATTCACTTCATCACAGAAATGGCAATGGACAATCACACATATACAGTAAGGGAAGCTTCTAATAAGGGAATGTGACATGCTTGTCAATGCAAAATTAGTTTGTTTTTTGACGGGTGTCATAAGTCTGTTAAGTAATTATTCAATAAAATATAACAGAATGGATTCATATGTTTTGCAAATGTATTCTATATAATTTTCATTTATGAACATTGTCAAATGTTTTTGAAATCTTCAAAGGTCAATAATTTAAAGTTTACTCATCTCATAATTTTTGATGAGGACAACCCAAATCTACAAATAAGTTATCAAAAATATGGACAGCATTCGTCTATTATGAAAAGCAGTAATTTGATTTTATATTTCACTGGAGATAGTTTGGATTTGGCGTTGTGTTATTTTTATAATATGTTAACATTTAATTGTGGCTTTCTGCTTGTAAATTTTACATGCCATATCAACTGCAACGTGTCATCTCTAGGCAGAACTTAAAAGAATATTTAGTATTGAAGAATTCAGTTCAATAGAACACTCATTGATCAAATATAGTTTTGTTTGTTTGTTTGTTTTCTTTTTTTCTTTAATAGCACAGAGCTAGAATAGAGCAGGAGAAAAAGGATCTTTCGATAAAAGGCAAGATGATAAAATTTACTTGTTCATTAGTCTCGTAAGCTGAGTATTCATACTGTTTGATGAGTTCAGAGCAAATCTTAATTTTAATGAGCTCAACCTTACTCTCAGTCGAGTGCAGCACCATGACAGATTCATAGAGCTTAGCCAGATACATTATCTCATTTGGGTAAAACATGTATCATAACTTTGAGACTGTAAACACCACGCTGCCTCAGCAAGCTGTATCATTCCTGTTAGTTCTGTTACTATAACAAGTACAACATAGCTACACAACATTAAATGGCTCCAAAACCCAAGGTGTTCCATTTTCCTAACTTCTGGTCCAAGTTTACTATAGATAAACTGCAGGATAACTCTGTATTATATTACAAAATGTTACTCTTCTTTCAAATACATTAAATTTAACATTAAAACAAAACACCTTAAACATCAGCACAGATAAATTTAAATGCTTACTCTGAAGAAAGCTAAAATGATTAAATATAGTGAATCTGCAGAAACTTTTTTTTTTCCCCTCATGGTCAATGCACAAAAAGCATGGGCTGGGGTCTGAACCAAGCCTATATGATTGATTGACAGATCCTATAGAATTGCCACACCTTTTCCCTCTACCGAATCTTTTCCTCACATTTTAGAAAGACAAAAGATATTCAAAGAGGCACCTCTCCTCAAAAGCTTCGAAAAACTATTTGCAGCTTCAGGCAGAGATTAGGAGGCAAATAACAGACCTCCCTTTAAAGGTGGATCACAGGAGAAGTACTTTCATGAACATAGCTCTAATGTTTCCAGTAACTAGCCCTGTAGTGTAACGCTACCAATTTCCCCCCTCCCTGGAGATTTCAATGACATACTTCAAACATCAACCTCCCTTTGTTTTTCAAATTCTAAACCACTAAAACTAGGATAATAATTCACACTGACATGTGTAACATTTTTTTTTTTTTTTAATCTATCCGTGAGTACTACTGAATACTTACATCCATTATTGGAGACTTGTAATGCTGTAGTTGAATGCAGTTTTCAAACAAACAGGATCAGCTCAGGAATGAAGAACACTCATACCATCAGCATTATGTCATTAATACTGCAGAGGGAAAAGAATGAAGATGTCACACAGATTAACTGTAATTCATTGGGCTGAAGCAGTTTTTTCCACCACAGTGAAAGCTCTAGTGATAAGATCAATATTTTAATGAACTTTCTTTAAGACAAATACTATATATACTTTATGACTTGAATAAAAGTTTCATCTTGGTGAAATGAAATGGCACGAGGGACGAGCATCTGATACTTGTTTGAACCTAGTCCCAGGCACACAGCAACTTATAGTTATAGTCACTTAGAGCAGGTTCCATAATGGCATTTGGGGACTTCTTGGAAGCTCAGGCTGGGGAATATTTACTGTTCTGAGAATGACAAGCCCTTTCCAGCATATTAATGTTTACCAAACATTACCAAAGTAATCTGCATTTTGTAACACCATAAGAAACTCTTAAGTAAGAAGTTAACATGCAGGCTAAAAATTACCTGTTACTTACCTAGTGTGAATTCAGTTATATTGCAATGTAAAATTACAGCATCAGTTGATATTAAAGATCTGACAAAACTGAAGTGTATTTTTTTCTAATATCTTAGAGTGAAACATTTATAATCACATGGCTAAGTAGACATAACACTTGTTTACCCACATGCCATAAATTCAGGTATTATTTAGTAAGACAGAAACAACTATTTCCTTTGAAAAGGAAAAGGAAAAAAAGAACATGAATCACAAGAATCCTTCTGTTTGGTTTTTCACGGCATGTTTAGCAATTCCAGACTCAAGTAGACCAAAAAGTAAACCTCAGTGAGCAAGACCTCTTTTAACTAACGCCACCATTACCTGTTTTATCTGTAAACTACTGTGATACTTATTTAAATCTCTCTTCTGCAATGTTTTGAAGGACGAGTGATCATTTCTTCAGAGATCAGGATTATTTGTCAGTCAAAGTCATTACTGTAAAAGTGGATTTATTTTTAAAAATATTATCTACATATGGTGTTTGGAGAGCTATATTTATTGGCTTTCAGTGACTTCAAAAATGTTACTGACTCTTATTTTGATGTAGTTATGCTCTTCAAATGTTAGGGCATCAAACTTGTCGTCATTAGCAGCCAAGATTACTTTCTGCTGTAGAATTATTACCTGTTTCCCTAGCCTTACCTTACCTTCTTTTATCTTTTTTCTTTCTTTTTTTTTTTTTTTTTTAAACACAATAACTTTATTTTCTCCACAGACATCTGAGTAACAGGAAACCTAAGTTTGACTGATAATAACATTGAAAGACAGAAGCCAGTTTTGTGGCTTTGACAAAACTAAAAAAGTCTTTTGTTACAAAAGGCAGTAGATAAGATTTTGTAGCAAAGAAGAGGAAGAATATTTGTAAGAAATTTCCTCATTTATAATACATTAAATTTATAATGAACTGCATTCTACAATCCAGAGAGAAATTGATTTGAGGCAAGAGCAAAAAATTGCTCTTAGTAGGAAATCACTTTTCACACATCTTTGGCAATGCTGGCTTAAAGAGCCTCATTCCCTTCTTTCCTCACATTTAACCCTGTCACCACACTGAATGACAGTGCCTCTCATTTGTGCTGCTGAATCAGTCAGCACACATTGTGAACCAGACCTCAGAACTGACACAGATAAGAAAAGCAAGACGATAAACAAAACAATCAAAATAAAAAAAGCTCTTATTTCAATTTGGATTATTTTACTCAAAGCCACTGGTTTGATTTATTGTGTAGGTCCTTAAAAAAGTTGTACCTTCGCAAGTAATAAGAATGGTGTATTGCAGTCCAAGAAGGAGAGTGAGAATGAACAATTCTGAAGGTATCGCTACTGTGCAAACACCAATGTTGTGAAACCTCTCATTTCCAGAGGCAACAAGTTGCAGCTTCAGCAGAAGTTGTTAAATGGCTTTGAAGTGACAGAGCTTTACTAATGATACTTATTAGGTCTAAGGAATATTTATTAGGTCTAGGAAGAAACACACCTCTGGACAAAGGGACTCTCACCAAAGGATTGACACAACTGAAGAAATCTTAGCACTTAAACTCTTCAAAAATAAAAATTATTTCAATGAACTAATGCCACCTTTCAATGACCTAAGGATGTATTATCAACTTTTATTGCTGAGTGCACTTAACATAGGCCCGAGGCTATAGCAAGAATTTTATTTATAACTAAATCAAACAAAGCTTAGTTTGGGGAGCAAGCAAGTGGTAGCAGTTGTACAGGTAACCCAGTGTCACCAGGTTCTGCATTAGGTTTAACTGTTATGTGTATCCTCTGTAATAAGATTCATCTGAGTACCTACTATGAACTGGAAAATCCACTGTGCTTAATTTAGATTGTCTTCAAAAAAATGGGAAAATATTGACAATAGCATGTTTTATGAAAGATTATTTACAATTGATTGTAAAATTATTTACAGGAGAGAGCAACTGTAATTGGTAGGGTTTTCTCTGAAGAATAAATTGTAGGTTAATTAAGTTTCTCATTTGTTTTTGGTATAAACATTGTTTTCTGCAAATAATTGTCAAGTTAAACTATCAGTTGAATTAGTATGTAGGTAACACACATGATGTTTTGCAAACATATCTGCTATTTATGAGCTGGAGGCATTTGGACATGACAAAGTGACATAAGAATCAGAAGTGCAGTTGATTTATTTAAATTGCAGGTTGTTACTCAGGTTTCAGAAAGCCCACATTAACTTAAAGTCTTTTTACAGTGCTGTGATCACAGCAACTATTTTGCACATTTAAATGAGGTATACATTACTGCACATCTATTTCATCCACTGCTCTGTTTAAAAGTCTGTCCCAGTACAGCTTATAAAAGAAGATCCTTGCTAAAGTCATTTACAACTAGTCTACATTGGTCTCTAGGGCTGTAGGGCTTTACAGAAAGTTATTTGCATTTCAAATGACTTACAATGAACACTGATTCAGACAACTTAAATGTTACAGCACATAATTAATTACTTGAAATAAACTTGTTTAATTGATAGTCAATGGGCTGAATCCTGAATTGAAGAGGATTACTTTCACAAAAGTATAATAAAGTATAATAAGAAACTTGCAACTGTGCAAGTAACAGAAGAGTTTGATGAACTTGATTAGAAGATAGAATAGGCTTAGACTGACTCCGTAATAAAAATACTGTATGATGTTCTTATCAATTAACACAAGTTGATGAATACAAAAACTTACAGGCCTTTGCAGTTAATGGGCCTTACCTTCTGTCTCATCATGTCCACCAACTTCAATGGAGTTACCCTAGACTTATGTGGTCACAGATAAGAGAATTCATACTTAATCTAAAAAGAATCAAGAGAAATGACAGGTCAGCATGTAAGGTCCAAATTAATTTCTACTGGCAAAAACAAATCCATCTTTGAAAAGACGATAGTTTGACTTTTAATCTGTAATGAATTAGCATCCAATTTGGATAAGCATCTTTGAGTACTTATCTAACATCGGGCAGCATGTTAGTGGCTGTTTGCTCTGTTTTTAGGACATACAGAACAGTGTTTTCTAAACAGAATCTTCCTTTGTTCCCATACCTAATTACTGTCTTGTTCCTAGCTTTTTCAAATAATTGTTACCTGAATAAAATCCATCAGCTCAAATACACTAATAAGTTAGTTGCATGTTCTTCACGCCCCATCTCCACCTCTGTTGGAACTATGTCCATTTCTGCACCCTCACTGTTCAATAAAGGCAGCAGCTGTCAATCTCAATTGCATTTTTTAGCCACTCTAAGGGCATACCCGGTGGGTGCAAGCATCTGGTAGTTACATAGATTTATTGTGCTTATTTTTCAAACTAAATATAGGAACTCCTATCAGATTGAACCACTGGATATCATCTTTCTCTCCTTTCCCCTCCTCTCCCTCCCTCCCACCCTCCCCAAATCCCTCTCCCCCTGGCAAATTAAAGAGATTTTCAACCTGCTCATTTTTTCTTGGAAAGGTAACTGTTATCACATCAGCTCTTCACCCTCTTTACCATTAGATACAATAGTATTTTTCCACGTGGGAATATTTTTCTTCTCTGTATGTTCTTGAGATTTTCAAAAATCTTTTTTTATAAAAATGGTTGTAAGCAATTTTTTTTTTTCCTTTTTCCTTTTAAGCTCTTTCAGTTTAAAGATTTTCTTTCTCCTTTCTAACAAGAGAAATGAATCCTACATTCCATACCATGTCTCTGATTCTAAATTGAGCAATGTATGTTTCAGAAGCAGTTTTGATCTGTCAGGAATAAGAAAGCCTATGAACTACATAAAAATGCATAGTCAACAATTCATGTCTCTTACAAGTGAAAGTTTTTCTAAATATGTGATAGACCCATAGAGGACAGTGGGTTGTTTATGTTGTGTTTTTTTTTTCCTGAAAGGTCCTGTGAGAGCTGTAATGTAACATTTTGCATTCAGACAGTCTTATGAGATGCAAATTCCCTATAGACTCATTTGAGTATTTGAAAGCACTGATGAAAACTCTTCAACTTCTAGTGGTGCTGAACTTAGGAGCTAAAATCTGCAACTATGCACTTGAATAAATCTTCAAAACCTGAAAAATATAAGATAAGGCTGATCCACAGATTATTTCTCCCATGAGTTTTGGGTTTTCTATACTAAATGCTTCAATTTTTCAGCAGAAGCAGAACCCTCAAACCACATCAGTGCTATGGAACTTTTTACTACGTGTTTCAATTATGCCAAAGCCTTATTCTTCTAGAAGTATCAAGTAACATTTACAGCAAGCTCTTTGGCTGAGTACCAACAACTTCCACTGTCTCCACTGAAGAACAATGAAGGCAATGCTTAGAATGCTATTTAATCTATTACGAAAATGCTGAGAAGCCCAAAACAGATATTTAATGTAGTTGTATCACTGAGTATGATCAGCAGTAAGACAGAATTCTCCAGTCTTATTATGCCTGAAAAATTTGTCAAGCTTTATTTACTTTC